CTTTTTGGGGACAACCTGATATTTTGCATTGTTCTGCAAAACCTGGAAAGAGACAAAACTGTGTCAATCTGTGAAGTTGTTTAAAGAAAACGCAGTCAGGCTTGCTGAGGTCTTGCGCCACTCTGACCTTGTTGAGCTTGCCCAGTGCGGAGATGAGGTCGGCCCACTCGCTGGAGTACTCAAAGTTCTTGAGGGCTTTGTCCACTGCTGCCACATAGTTCCTGTACTTTGAGTCACTGAGCAGCTCCACTTCCTCTGCATTCATTCTCCTGGCTGGTTTGTACGCTCATGCAACAACTCAAGCCATTCACAGAAACATCAACCCTGCAATGGTAGGACATTTTTTAAACGAATCAAAATGATTGGAAAACACTACTTGCCCAATTATTTGAGGCTGGTATAAGCCCTCTCCCCCACAAAAAACTGAAACTTATTAGTTAGAACAGGAAGGGGTAATCAAACCAATGTTTGATGCAAGCAACTCTTGCATCATTTTCTTATTTTCTTTTGTCGATTTTTAAAGGAAATGAAACATTTACTTAGAATGTTTCTTCTATTCCTCCTACAACCTAATGTCTCTGGAGAACAGCTATTAAAATGATTTGGCTCCTCTGATTCAGAATTGCTTTCCTCTGTTCATCGCCTTTAGAAATTAAGAGCGTCAACATCAAATGAGCTCATGCTGCGATGGAGTTTTGGGTTAACATAGCTGATTAAAAGCAGTCCCATGTCTTGACCATGGAGCTACACAGAAGACATTAAAAGCTGTAGAACATGCCTGTCCTGCTATTTCTATTATCTTCATAAATCTAACTTTTAGTTTACCGTGGGATTACAATAGTTTTGGGTTTTTCGTTTTATATATATATATTTTTTTTTTTGTGTGTGTGTGACTTTTTGTTAGTTTTGATTAGTTTTTACAGTGTGTTTGCTAGTTATTAGTTAAAAATTGTTCAGTTTTAGCCTAGTTTTTATTAGTTAGAAGTTTTAGTTTTTTCATACTTTGGCTCATTTTTAGGTGCAGAATTAAAAAGGTCAAAGTACCATATTGTGATTATTAAGATTATACATTCACTGGGTAATGGATACTCAACAGAAGATATAATTTTCAAAAAATATATATATTCAATTATTGTTGAGCAAGAAACTGACTCTGGAGTTTTCCCCCCAACATTTACTGTTGCCATTTCGTGGACTAACATTGCACAGCCGCCAGCAGGAGAATGGGGCGCTGTAATTTGCTGACAACTGATGTAAACAGTTTGTATGGGGATGTGTGTGTGTGGAGGGGAGCAACAAACAATTTCACATCAGGTTGAAAGGCTAATACATAGATTCCTAAACACCAAAGTCGTTGGTTTTTATAAACATACAATATACTTCCAGTTAGCTATAGTTTTTATCAATTTTATTTATTTCAGTTAAAAATATTCTGTCAATTTCAGTTTTTATTTTGTTGGTTTTAGTCAACTATTATAGTTTTTTTCTTACTAGTCACGTCATATGAATTAAAATATGTGGTTCACCAATGATTATTCTCAAGTTACTATTTTTTTTTAAATTAATGTGAAACCTTTTTCTAGATTTAAAACTAAATACGAGTAATTTTTAAAAACAAAAACAAAAGATACACTGAGTGGGTTTTAGGGTTTGGCAAAACCAGTTTTTGATTTTCTTTGATCTACGTATTCTGATCGTTTTTTTCGAAGTATTAGAACATATAAAAGTAAAATAAAAATAGGCTGGAGGTTATTCAGCAGTAGAAGATTGCAAGTCAAACAGAAGGAAACTGTTGCAAGTCAGTAATTGAAACATTTTTTTCAATAACTTTTGAAATTACTGAAAAATCCAATCTTTCAGTAATTAACAATCATCAATTAGAGCACCAAGTACTGGCTAAGCAAGTTTGATTTTCTATTAGAATTTCTCTAAGCCACCTGGAGTCAAGATTTTATACAAGCCAGCATTAATATTTGATGAAATGTGCCATTCAACATAGTGCTTGGACCCACTCTGCCATTCTCCATAGTTTGCAGCTTCTGCAATAATTCTGATTCAATATCATTTAAAAACATTTGAACTTCGGTTTACAGGAACAAGTCTGATTCAGGTCAGGTTTGTTTTCCCCACCCATTTAAAAATAAAAAAAGACAAAAAAAAGATCTAACTATTGAAAAAAATAATATATATTTTGTTAATATATTTTAAGGAAGTCATATTTTCACATTGGAATGTCTAATTGGCTAGCAAATCTCACAGTGATTCAGTTTATTAATTACTTTAACACATTTTACTTGTACACATTGCAGTAACACTACATTATTATTAATGTAGTACACTATGACATGACATGACGTTTATGGTGTTGAAAGTTGTTCCTGTTATTATAGGTAGGTCTTGAATAAAACGCAGCTGATTCAGTGTCTGATTCACGTTAAACAGGGCCAAATGTGTCCTCACACTCCTGCTCTTAGAGGCTAGAAGTGGATGACAGAGTGACCCAATGTGTCAAGATTTAATAATTTATGACGTGGGTTTATCAGCTGGCTCAGTTTCATTGTTGCCGCCTTTCCATTGCAGTCCAGTCATGATCGAAATAGAATGCTTGGCAATATTAAAAACACAACTTGCTGATCCTGTTGCTTCATCACAAGAGGTACAAGGATCTGTCTGCCTGGCAGCAGGTGATGTGGCAATTATACAGGAGACCATCTTGTAATGATCACTAAAGAAATTTATTTATAATAAATCTACAGAACGTGCTCAGGGAAACTTGTTTTTTATGACTAAATAATTTACAACATATTACAGCAAACTGATAAGCTGGCCGTGGTGCCCTGCTGTAAACCTTCCTGCCTTGATGTGAGGATCCTTAGAGGTTTCTACCAGATCAGGTCTTCCAGTCAGTTTTAATGGCTGGTTCAAGTTTCACCGTTTCCTGGACACGACTCATCCACCTGAAAGCCCGCCTCCTGATTGGCTGCTTCTTGGTTTAACAGGTTGATGGGATGAAGTGGCTCACGCGCGTGGACGAATAACAGTCGCGAGAATGGAGACGAAAAAACATTCAATGACATAAAACCTGGTCAAATATTAGCTTGTAATAGGTGGAAACTTTCAGGTTGTGTGTGACGCAAACATGAAGACTATCAACAATAACAACTTTGGTGGAGCACAAAAAATGAAAACCCACTACATTTCATGAATATATTTTCCGTTTCTAAGGGTTTTTGTTAGGAATGTTATATTAGAGCAGGAGTACTGTAACATCCTGGCTTGTCACGAGCTAGGTGAGCTAATTTCTCCGTGGGCAGGTTAACGTGATAAGAAAAGATAGTCTTACAGAAAGCCTTACCGTTTCCGGACTGTCATTCAACTAAGTATCCTAAACGATAAATGAAAACGGCTGACATCAGAAATGTGTCACAGCTAGCCGTTTAGCTACAGACTGTTTAAAAGCTGGGCCCGTTCCGATGACAGCCAGTTCACCCAGTCCAGGTCCCTGGAAGGAAATATTCTGTCCGCAGGAAATAAATGGCTCTATCCTACATGTTCCTGCCCGCCTCCGTACAACCCCGCTGTTTGTAAATAAACTGAGGCGAAGAACGGAGAGCTGCCATCGCTGCAGGCACGAAGCTAAACGATTGACAGCTCCCAGACTGCACTGCAGATCCGTCCGCCTGCTCTTCCGCCTATCCGCTCCTGATGTCAAGACGCCGCACACGTTCATGAACTACATCCGGTTCCTTCAACTGGTTGTGCCGGTACCGGAAAACCGTGACGTCTGTCAGCTCAGAACAGACGAATAAATAAACAGGCCCATGATGGGATTAATAAACAAATGCATCATAAAAACTTAAATGTTCATTTATTCCGTTCGATATCATTTTTGTCATTTTGTGGAGATTTTCAAAATAAAGCAATTCTTCATAAACAGGAATTATGACTTTAGAATGATAGATAAAAATTAATTACGTGGATTAACTTAAGCCAAATATAATAACAACAACAACAACAACAATAATAATAATAATAATAATAATAATAATAATAATAATAATAATAATAATAATAATAATAATAATAATAATAAATAAATAAAAACATTTTTTTATTTCTTAGCAAATTGACTTTTCTTACTAATCTGGGGGAAATGATCGTTTTTCTTCTTTTTTTTTAAGCTTAAGTTTAAAATACGTTCCCAAATGTTTATAAAATTGTGACACAATTAAAAAATTTGGGGCTAGTGACATGTAGGCTTGACATGTAGACGTTTATAATTATTTTCAGTTAGATCACATCATGACGTCTGTTTTGACGTTTAGAACCGGATGTTGCGCTTCTGTTTTCTCATTTTTTTCGCCACTATGGGTGCGCACCTTTTGTCAGCCTGCGAGGTGATGCGTTGGATAGGCGTGGTTGTACTTCAGACAATCACAGCTCGAGTTACTATGAGGCTCATTTTGCCGGAATAAAAAGTACTCTGAAAATAACCACTTAGTGGTTCTTCTACATTTCTGTATAAAAATACGATTTTTGTATCGGTTGTCATCTTAAATGTCAAACAGCAAAAACAAAAAAAACAAAAAAAAGAAAAGAAAAGAAAGTGAAATCATGACATATTACTGTTTGATTACGTTTGGTTGTTTTTCATATTGGATTTTGCTTGCTACATCTGTGAGGCGCTTCGCTTATGACGCAGTGATATGTAAAAGTAGACTTGTAGACCAATATTTACTTCAAAGAACCAGAATCAGTTCCACTTGCAATAGTTAATGCCTAATTTGATCACATACTTGGTAAAAAATGCATGACTGTAATGTATCAGTGTGCCTATTGAATATTGTGACTTCCAGCTGATCATTACTATTCATCTACCTTTTCAGTAGTTAGCGACAGAGTAAAACGTCATCGCTCTGTCAGCTCCAGGAAAACTCCACCCACGCATCTCCCTCAACAACTCTGTCCGGATCGCCCGCCGGCAGACTGCCAACGAGCAGTCCGCTGTTGTCACGCTTTAACCAAGAGGATAGAAAGTGCGGTTTTCCGAGCTGTTACTGCGTGTTTATTTACTTATTTTTCTCTGAATTTTCTGAATTAAAGCCGCTTTAATTAGAGACTGAATCTATGTATTTATTACTGTCGTCATTAATTTCTCCCTGGACCTTCTGAACAGCTGAAGACATGTCGGTGGAAACGCGTGGACTAGGAGTCTTCTTAGAGCTGAGGAAAAGGCTTCAGAGTGGACTTCTCGTTGTTGGGTAAAGGAGTAGTACGCATTTTTATTATTATTATTATTTTTTTTTTTACATATCATCAGGAAGTGTTGAGTTTTTATTAAGTTACCATGCTCTTTGCAGCTAGGCTAGCCGGCGTTAGCTAACCTAGCATGACAAAGACGTAAACCTTAAGCCCGCATGAAGACCTTATTTGGACGTGATAAATATTAAAGATGACACATAGTTCTTATTACCCAACCAGAAATCCGTCAACCAAATTTGATTTGCAATTATACTAGAAGTGGAATCTGCTTTTACCTGTTAGAAAGTATCATAATCACTTCGTGTTCTGTGAAAATCTGTGTCACTTTGGCTGAATTGAATTTGACAACATCCAGATGTGTTTATGCTTTCTGTTTGGCTGCGATGCCATGGAGTCAGTTGAACTCCAGCATCGACTTTGACTAGGCCACGCTTACCCCAAATGTTGACGCTTTTCCAGTCCCCATCCTGTTGGAAGGGGAACCTCTGCTCCCAGAGCATTTTGCTGCCACCACCACGTTTCACCGTCGTCAAAGTGTGTCTTTAGTGCGTGTGTCACTTACTGCATTTTTAAATAAAAACAAAAAACAAAACATAGCATACACTGAAGTCTGTGTGTGAGTCAAAATATAGAAAAGCAAAATTCACAATATTTCTGGTAATACATAATTGTAATCTCATTCTATTAGAAATCAAATGACTGTTTGAAAATGCAAACAGAAACCATATTGTACTGAAGGCTCCTTTTTTCACTAAATGCTAGTTGAGAATGCTCTAGTTCTCAACTTGCTGATTTTTTTCAAAGGTAAACTGTTTTGAGAAATTGCGCTTGCAGTGCGCAAAACTACCACAAGATGGTGCCGTTGGGATTTAAAGAGAAGCAAAGTGAACCGCTTGGTTTTGCCTCTTTCTTTAAATGTGCAGCTACAGTTAAGTGCTCAGCAGTGAGATTATCTGTAGTTGTACGGTGTACGGAAAGATATAATGTGTAGCCCAGCATTAAAAATTAACTATGAATTTACTTATATTTAAATAAGAAGGGTGCAGTGTTTGGTCTTGAGAGATGAAGGCACGTCCTCTCTACTGGAAAGGTCATCAGCAGAGGGTAAACAATCTGGAACATAATTGATCTGGACAAGATTTCCGCTTGATCTTATTTGCAGAAATGTCTCCCAAAAATGAAACACAGATGTTTCGGACAAATGTTGCATTCTTTTTCTCCCCCTGCCCTCTTTGAGCTAATGCTACTGATTTAAAATTTTGTACAGTTTAGGTTTTTCATGTGCTTGTAATATGCGTACGCTGCTCTTATTCACCGTCACAATCGTTCCTTTGAGTGAGAGGGGACAGAGCTCCTCAGAGTCTTGTCGGAAGGACGGCTGATTTGTCAAGTCCAAGGTCAGATATTTATAGAAAGTGTCAATCAACATGATTATAGATCGTAGAAGCTCAGGAGCAATATTCAGTGGTGTGGTTATCAACCAGCCTTCATTTATGGAGCACTTGTCAGACACGAGAACAGCTAACTGAAAAGGGGGGGGGGGGAAACTTACTGTACAAAAAAGTGTAGTTAATAAAGGTCAGGTTGGATTGTAGGAATTAAAAGGGATTATGTTTATGAGGAGGAGGAGAAAGAAACACTAGAGAGAAATATAGAAAATATAAGAAGCATAGAGTGAAGATTATAAGTGTTAATGCTGAGATAATTTATGAAAATCTTAATTGAATTAATTCCTCAACAATCACAATTGAAAAACAAAATGTCACAAACAATACAGTTGTTTCAGACGATGAATACAAAGTCAAGACTGACATGCGTTAAAGTAGTAATAAATGATCTTAATTTATAATAGTCCTCCCCATAATAGAGATCAGTGACAGAACGACTGCAAAGATTATTTCACTCTGATCCATCCGGTGACATTTTATTTGTCTTCTTTGGGTTTTAAAATGTTGAGAATAGCGAGAAACAAACAGTCAAAACGGGTCCACTAATGACGATCCAAACATCTCCCCTTCCCCCGCTCTAGGGCAAACGTGGCCGCAGGTCCTGCAGACGTGGCCGTCTCCTCCGGAGGAGATTCCTCTCTCCTCATCCGGACCCCCAGAGGAGAACTGAGCCTCGCTCTGCCAGCAGGGGTCGCTTTCGAGACGGGGTCCTGCATTCACACACCTGTGGGTGAACCCGGTGGCGAGGAGCTGCACTTCAGGCTGCGAATCACGACTGAACGGAGCGAGCGAGGTACAGTTCAGGGCGGCTCCGGCACCAGTGCTTCTTCCTGAACCAGTGGAGCAGATCGCTAACTGACCCGTAGCAATTCAAATACAAATCTTGGGTGAATTTCCTTCTAAGTGACGTTATCTGAAGAGCTCTTTTTTTTTTGTTGCCCTAACAAGGCAGGAGAAAGTTACAGCAACAGACCATCAGATTGATTCCCCCGTTTTATAGAAGCGTCTCTCCCCTCCTCCTACAACCTGCTGTCTCATTGATTTTGTGCTCAGTAGCAGGATTTTAGCACCATTCCAAGTTTTGGATGTAAGTGCCCCATTTGTTTGCTTGCCGCGTCCGCAGAGGGACCTACCAGCATGATGCAGACTCTCAAGGCAAAAGAGACGTACAGCTTCCACTGCCAGGGCTGCACCACCCGGCTGCTGGAGGACAGGTGAGGGAGAAGACGGGACGGCGGATTTTATTTTTATTTTCCATTTTTATTTACAGCCTCCTCAGCAGGTAGAGGACCGTTTTTTTATGGATGATGCGGCCCGTCCTCAGAAGCGATAGTCTGGGAGAGCAAACTTGATGGATGGCTCTTGGGGGGAAGCTGTCAGCCTGGCTGAGATACAGTCATGGAGTGTGTGTGACGTAGACGGCCGCACCGCCAGTTAAAAACAGTTTTTTTGTAGGGTGTGTTGACTTTTTGTCCCCGATAGTGATTGTGGTAAATTACAATGTTGGTTTGAGACCATTTTTCAGTAATATATTGATAATGGCATAATAATGCAATATCTACCTCAAAAACCAAGAATTATTGTAACTTAAAATGGAAAATGTTTCAAATGTCCAAATTAAACACAACAGCAGAAAACGGTAAATGAAACAGGAAGAACCTTAAAACTTATAATCTAAAAACTATCAATACAATGGATTAAGATGTCTCTGTACGCAAAATTGACCTTTGAAAAATGTGAATCGTCAGAATGAAAGTTGAGTTTATGTTAATCTATCATGCGATTAATTGCTTATTGCGACAGGCTTAAACAGTCACCCCACTGTTGCCAATTTATCTACTCGGAATCAGCAGCTCTGGCTTTTTAAAGATCAGTGATCGACCAGAAATCAACAATCGGTGTATCCCTAACTAGGATCCATCCATCTTCCCTCTAACCGGTTTTCTCTTTCAAATCTTGAAACTGGAATATTTGCCCAGTCATCTTTGAAAAACAGTCCATGTTGGATGAAAAGTGAATGAACAGCAATCTGTTTACAGTGTTTTTTTTGCTGGATGGTGAACTTTCACCCTAGTCTCAAGTCATTTGCAACGTCTTGCAAAAATGTTTGGATTAGAGATCCACTTATAAATTGGCCCGATTTTCTTAACTTACCAATCTTATTTAGCAACTTTTCTGGCAAACAAAAAAACAAAAAAAAAACGTTATCCATCAAAATCAAAATTGACATATCAGACTTTTTAAAAATTGGTTATGAGTGGCCAGCAAACTGCAATCGGTGCACCTCTTTTTTTTTTTTTTTCTTAAACCTTGTGGGAGTTTACATGGACGCTGGTGTTGTTACTGCAGCCTGAGGTGAAAATGTTTGCTTTCTGTCGACGTCGCTCAGCTGCTGAATACTAAAAATAATTGAAAAATATACATTTTGAGACAATCGTGCTTCAGATGGAGTGCGGGAAATATATCAGTTAAAAATCATGGTGCATTTGTAAACTATATCATATCCAGTTTGCTGTGAGCTCTGGCTCAGAGCTAATTCACTAATATTCTGCCCTCCAAAAGAATTTTAATAGAAGACACGATGCAGTCAGATGTTTAGCTAACTTAATTTACTGATTAGAAGGCCCTGCAAAAGTTTTCACAAACATTTTTACATGTAGTCTCTGTACCACCACAAATTTGAAAGGGTTTATATCAATCAGGCTTATGTGATTATTGGATCTGTGAAATAGATAGTAACTAAGTATAAAAACTTCATCGGTTTATTCTTTTAGAAACGGCTTTGTCAACTACCCTACTATATAATTACAGCCGCAAGCCTTTGTGGGATGATCGCAACATTTTTATCCAACATTTGCTGCCTCATCTTCCCCTTTCTCTAGTAATTAAAGAAAATGATGTTTCCTCCGCTCTGTTTCACTGTGTGGATGGTGTGTTCAAACTTGATTCAAATTCAGCCTCATCTGAGCGGATCATGTGTTTTTTCTATAACGTTCACACTTTGTTGCAAACTGCAAACATTAGTTCTTAGTATTAAGTTTCTGAAGGAGTTGTGATTTCCATTTTAACTATGATAAAACCGGAATCAGCCCATTGAGCGTCTGACTCTCTCGGTTGTGTTTTTCTCGTTTCCTTTCCCCCAGAGCGTTCTCACGAGTTCTCCCTCTCCCCAACGGCAACTGGAACGCCATCGTGGACGACTGGTGTTGCCACCCAGATCCGTTCGCCAACAAGAAGCTGCTGCCCCGAGCCGAGGACTGTCTGCTGGGGGACACCTTCGTCCTGCTGGCCCGCGACGCCGGCTGCGACCACACTCTGACACAGGAAGTGGGCTCTGTCGGCGCTGCTGATGGTCAAGACCCAAAGGTGAGATGGGTCTTGACCCATCCTTTTCTCCTTTCCTTACTTCTATTTCTCTGTCCTTTGTGACTTTTTTGTTTTTGAAGGCAACAAAATGGAAAAGTTGGAGCGGTGCATGTCTGTCGTCTTCACAGGCACGATCTCCTCAGTCTAGTCCAACTCCAGCTCCAGATGAAGATTGATCTCCTCTTTCTTCCATTAGTCATTCCCCGCACGACTCACGCTCTGCGTGACTGCAGCTGAAAGGAGCTGGAAAGTAGTTTCAGTGTCTGCCACGTGTCGTCCTTTCTCTCGTTCGGAAAGCAGCAGCTCACTTGTGATTTTGTTTGTGTGCCCAGAAACCTTGTCACCGTTTGGCCCTTGTCTCCTGCGCGAGCTGTTCGGCGGAGTTGGGAGAAGCCGTCGCGACAGGTCTGCACCACTCCTGCACCACTCCTGCTGGTTTTATTTTTATGTTGTTTTTTTTTTAAATAAAAAGGCCTTTCGGCGGTGCGTCAGAGAGTTTTTTGTTTACGTCGCTGTATCTTCCAGGGACGCTGAAGCTGTACATCACCCAGGTGGTGGTGCAGCCCGCTGTGGGAGATGAAAGGCCTGATGCTTCACTGAACAGGCACGCTGCTGCTTTTTGTTTTTTATCTCCCTTCTTCATGGTGACACTTTAGAAACTCTGGTGAAGAAAATGCAATGAAACAAAAGGTCTGTTAACTCAGGAAGACGAACAGACTTCCTACACAGTCTGGAAATGTTGGAGTTTTATTGAAGCACTTTGAAGGTCTGGATGGACAGAAAATATTACTGAGATATATTTATTCACGGTTCCTTCTTTCTTTCATTCTTTCCTTCCTTCTCTCCCCACACCATTCAACTATTCCTTCCTTCCCTTCAATGTTTCTTACCTTCCATCCAGTTTTTCTTCCATCAGTCCTTCCTTCCTTTAGTTCTTTAGTTCTTAGTTCTTAGTTCTTTTTTAGTTCTTTTTTAGTTAGTTCTTTTAGTTAGTTCTTTTTTTAGTTCTTAGTTCTTTTTTTCTGTCCTTTGAAAAAAAGGACATCTTTTCTTTCTTCCATCAATCCTTCCATTCTTTTTTTCCTTTACTCCTTCTTTTCTTCACTCCTTCATTCCTTCAATTAACCCTTCCTTATTTCCGTCCTTCCTTCTTTCTTCCATCAACCCTTTCATTCTTTCATCCTTCCTTCCTTCCTTCTGTCCTTCCCTGCTTCATTTTTTCCATTGACCCTTCCTTCATTTACTTCCTTCCTTCCTTGTTTTCTTCCTACCTTCCTTCCTATTGATCACCTGCATTCCTTCTTTCTCTATCTTTTCTTCCTTCGGCCCTCCTTTCCTTCCCCTTTTTCTTACATGTGCCCACATGACTGACAATATAAAATAGGACTGATAGAAATGAACGAACTTGTGTGTGTGTTTTATTTAGATCTTCCTTCCTAGAGAAGACGGTTGCAGCTCGTCTGTGGGATCTGTCCAGCTCACTCAGCTCCTTCCACTTTTCTCTTCAGACGCCTGATGGGAAGGTCGTCCTACTGGTAAGACGGTGGACAGAACGAGGCATAATGTCAGTGGCAGCAGAATCGGTCAGTTCCAGGATGCCATCAAGCCACTCAGCTCTGACCACATAACGGGGTTCAGTGTGCTGAGCAAGCAGACTTTATCAGGGAATAAAACTAGAAAGGGACTGCCGGAGCGATGCCAGATTGTAGTGTTTGTCCATTCAGTCTGACCTGCTTTACAAATGTGTTGCTGGCTGACAGCGAGTCATAAAAGCGCTCTGAGACTCAGGCGACCAATAGCACTATAATCAATCTGGTGTGAAATTGGATCAGAACGGAGCAGATCTTTTTACAATAAAAGGAATATGTTCTAGCTTTATGGGTTTCTCTGAATCCCAGAAAAAGTTTGAGAGAGTTGCTGCAACAGACTACAATAAAGAGCCAAGTTATACAGTTATATCTTATCGTATTGTATACATTTTCTTCAATTTAGTCTGATTTTGTGAGTCAAAAGCTGTGCTCCTTCCTTCAGCTCTGGCTGCTGAACGCAGACTCCATCATTGCCTCGGTCCCAGAGACATGCGTCAGGGAGGGGGGCCCCAGCGGCCCCCCCGCTTCTCTCAGTCCATCACTCAGAGCTGCCAGGGCCCTGAAGCTCCTCTACATCAGCTGCTCCGGCGCCAGCACCCAGCAGAGAGAGTAAGTGAGGATGCTTAACACGTCCTCAGGCCTCATTGAATCTTTGTTTTCCTCTTCTTAATCACGGCTCTTTGCCTCCTGGATCACCCGTCACCAGATGAAAGATCGCAGGTGGACAGATTTTATTTCCTAATGGAACGCCCTTCGCTGTCGTTCCCTGTTCATTATGGCATCTATTACTTTTTGCACAAGCACTTGCCATCAAACTTCCTATTCTCTTTTTTTATTATTTGGCTCGAAATGGTATCATTAAAAGCTCCTTTTATTCCCGTTTATTACAAAAAGACACAAAGCCAGTTCCAACAACCTTAGATGGAAGATTTACTCAAGGAGCAAGGTTATCATAGTTAACTAAAACTAACAAAAAGTGAAATTAAGAAAATATGTTCATTACCTGGCATGAATAAAAGCAGAAGTTAATGGGGGGAAAAATATAACTATTTGAAACTATATCATATGTTTATAAAACTAAAACATACTGAAATTATAGCTATAATTTAGTTTGTTTGAGAATCTATTAACTTTTAGAATATTATCTGTTTTTGTTTTCTTTTTTTTTTCAAAAGATTCTTGACATCAATGCTAAAAGTTATGTTTTCATCAATTACAAGTGGATCTGGGCATTACATCAGCAACAATTTATATATCGCGATACAGACACGTGATATCAATTTTCTGCAATTTCAACTAAGGTAGATGGGTGGAATCAAAAACCTCTCACTTTTCTGTTACTTAGCAAGAACTTAAGTGAGCTCCACAGCAGCAGTTTTAAGTTTTGCCATCTTCTATCATATCTGTTTAAAGATAAATTTAAAAAAAAAACAACACTATGAGGTGAAAACTGGATAAAAAAGAAAATAACGACACCAGTTTGTCAGTATTTCACAAACAAAAGGCTAATAATTATTAATATGGACTGATATGAAACACTTATATTGTGTTATGATATAACAACCTTATGTTGTTTATTAACTTTACCAGCTGTGTCATTGTTTGTAGGAAGACACAATCTCAATAGAAGAACATTTTGAGGATAAACTACAGAGTAGAACAGCAGGGACTTGTCTTTCTGTGGGAAAACAACTTAGGTTTTGTCGCAGAGGTGTTGCAATTGTAACTTTATGTGGTCAAAAGCAGAGTTCAAATGCTCAAAAGCCTGTGCAACTGTTCACAGTATCATCTGCGTAAAAACGGACAGACGCGTTTGTGTCTATCCGTTTATGTTTTTTATCAATTCAGTGAATAGTGCGTGTCCTGAAACTGACTCTTGAGGTGCCAACTACATCCAAAAGGCCAGAAAGGAGTTCATTAACTTTAACACTCTGCTTTTGATTATACAGATAAAAAATGAACGAGCTGGAGAGTACAGTGTGTCAGGCCAAGATTAACCGTATCAGAGGCCTTCGAAAGGTCAGTGAAGAGGGAACACACAACAATTCTGAGTGTTCAATGTGTGTATAGTGACCAAAAACGTTTTACTCAGCTGATGCTAATTTTTACTCTGCTTAAGCTTAGAAATTAAGGGAAAAAGAGAAATTTTTCCTATCATGTTTTAATATGTTTTTTAAAATGTCCATTGTAATGGACATCTCTACTCAATGAGCGTAGAATGTCTTGAAAACCTCTAGATTTTTCCCATAAAGCTTCATGCAATATCTATTTAGGTATGATCTCAACCTTTTAATCTGGGTGTCTGGTTTTTGTTTATCAGTGTGCTTGTCTGCATAGAGAAAATTAGTGTTATAACGAGTTGGCAGCTACAGTAGCCTTAGTAATGTTCCTTCATTTCTTGTTTATTTTTGAAACATCATCCATCAACTGATTAGATTAAATATTTTCCCCATATGTTTTGGGAATCTCTTCCTTTCACAGTCTGTGTGAGGCAGAGCAGATCTGTAAGCACTGTGAACCCGGGGAACACTTGAATTTTCTTTACCGCTACATATCTATAGGAAAGGAAAAAGAAAGATGTTGCCATATCTGCCAGCTTGTTTTAGCTTCCTAACTAACTTTTGATGCCCAAGGAAGGTTGGCAAATTTTGATCTTATGTTTAAAAAGATGACACATGATTAAAAACAAAAATAGAGAATATGGAAAAGGTAAGAAAATAATCCATAATGCTCAACATTTCAAACAGTGAAACTCTGAGAGTTGAAACTGTTGTTACCCAGCACTGAATGCAGTTAAAACTGCGGGGTTTGCTGCCTGCTCTCATCCGGCTCTTTGTTGTGTCGGTTCATTTTTCAGAGCCTCCTGTGAGACTAATGTGTGTTTGTGAGAATTAATAGTTGTGGGATCCATTCCAAATCCATTCTGGTTTGCTAATTTACAGTAAGACCATTTATAAGGGCGAGATGTTGCAAAGAAATGAGCACTGCTCAGTTCGTCAGACATTTTTGGGCGAAACATTTCTGCAGACTCGACCACAGGCACTTAAGACAGACTACTGAGCAGCTGCTGCAGCTTTCACAGCAGTTTTTTTTTAAAGCCGAGAATCACCGCATAATAAAAATGAACCCAGCAGATTTCGGGGCTGACTTGATAAAGTTAAATGGAGTTTAAAATATCTAGTTCCGATATCAGTATTGCTAAAACCGATATTTACCGATATTGTATATATTTGAGACTGTATAAAAGTTACAACACCACCTGTATTGCGTTTCTGCTTCAGTTTACATTCCCATAATCCCGTGCTGTATCCCCATCACATGGCCAAACAAATACCACATGGACAGCCTGTTCCACTCTTCCTCCTGAAACACAAGATGACAACAAGATGCAAAATTGCTGATATTGGCACAATTTTGCTCATTGGACCAATATTTTTAATACTGTCAGCAAAAGGGTCCTTTGTGGACTTAAAAAGATCGAAACTAAGTTGACCGAAACAGCAAAAGTACAAACTTCTCTCTGTTTTAGCAGTCTGAATGAACAGCTGTCTTCCTCCTGACTTCATTTTTAACCACCTGACTGACAGCGAAAACGGCTAAGATTGCAGCAACAGTCTCCACACCGAGGAGTGGGGTTGTTGGTGTGAACTGGTGTCGTTTGGTTGTGGTCCGTGTCGGTTCAGATTGATTAGTATGCAGACACAATGAATCATATGTGGAAAAACACTGTCCAATTAAAACTGACTTAATGAATCAGTCTGTTAACAAAATCATCCTTCAGTTCAGCTTGTTGATATTTTCTCTAAGCTTGAGTGCGTCGCTGAGAAACGTTTCATGAAGACAAACCCCCCTACTGCTCATTTTTGTTAACTGAATGTAACGTTTGGAAATGCAATAATTAAAATCGTCATTTAAAAAAAGCCTCTTATTTTAGGATTCTTTCCCTCTGTTTTCCAAGTACTATGGTGGAAAATGAAGTCCAGTGACAACTCTATTACATTACCATCACTGCTCGAGCATTTTGCTTGCCCTCCTCAGAATGTGTAGATGAATTCTGCAAGATCAGTTGAGTATTACCCCACCAGAAGATGCTTCCACCCTCATTATTTTCAACTGAATCAGCACTTAACATCCCTCCGCAACCCCACCCCCTCCATCTCTCTCTCATCGTCCTCATCTTCCCTGCAGCCAGCAGGCGTGAAGACAGAACACGGAGGTTTTGTTGTTTCCTCCATTTTGACAAGCCCACCGGCTGACTGACAGAACGGGTAATTACTTGGAGACAAAAGTTTGCTAAAAGAGAAAGCGGTCTTCTCAGGCAAAGCGGCGCGCCTCACGCTGAGTGATGTGGTTTACTGTAAGAGTTGAGTGACGCATGGGGATGTGAACGTGCTGGATGCCGGGAGATGTACGGCTGCTGCAGTCAAACTTTGACTTTCTAGCTTTTCACCTTCGTGCTCCAGCTCCTCACAGAAGAAGAAATGCTCATATTTGCAGTCTTGTAAGTAGCTGTTCAGCTGTCGATCGCCCAAGTGCGACGGTGTGTTGATGTGTTTAAAAGAAACATGGCATTGATTTGCAGAGGGTAACAATAACATATGTTTTCTCTCCCTCTCCTGACTGAGTTGTTCATCTACCAAACTTACCAAAAGGTTTTCTTACTCAGAGTAGATCAGTAGGTGAAGCATTTAAGCTGTTGTCAGATTTTTTATTTTTTTTTCAAAAGGACTATAGCCACATGTAGGGTTGAAATATTAACCGAATGAATTCCTCATTGAAATAATAGTCAACGAATTTAGTAATTGATTCATCTTTAACTGGAGTATACAGACTTCAAAAATTGTCCAAGTGGAAAATTGGTAAGGGACTTTTATGGATTAAACAAAATCTATAACAAATTCAAAACTGTTCACACAATGTTCTGCTTTAACGTTTACTGCAGTTGTTTTGGAATAATTCCACCCTAAAAATACAAGGTGGATTAATACATTTCCAAAACACAAAAGTTCCCACATTGTCATAATTTTGTGCAGAAGTTTCTGATAAGGGATTAATTTAATGCAATGTTAATTAAGGCTGTATAACGTGTGGAAAAGGGAAGTAGTGTGAATACTTTCTTTTCGCGTTGCATGTCGGACATGCCCAAGAGCTTTTCTTCAGAGCTCGAGTGTTCAGATACATAAAACCAGCATAAGAACTTGGAGTTGATTGATGCCCACGTCTCCGGATTATAACGACCCCTACATTACTGAAGACATCATCATTTCATCCCAAACTTTTCCTAAATGTCACCTCCTTCTCCCACTTTCCTGCAGGTATAACTGACTCTTCCATTTTCCCTCTACATAATTTACTGGCATCCTTCATCACTCACCTCTGACAGTTTAAATTAAATGTTATGCCTGGGGAGCTGAATTCCCCCGGTGATGACGGCCTTCCTATTTGGGATACGGTCGGATGCAGACGGCTGCAGCTGGGGGTTACAGTATGTCTTGTTTAAACTGCCAATAATTGGCTGGAGAATCAGTGAGCCGGGGCCTAAGTGGATTACTCTTGTCACCTATGGTAGAGGCTCGAGGAGGGCTGAGAGAAGTGCGCGTCGTCGTCTTCTTTTAGTGCCTTGCAAAAGTATTCATACCTCATAAGCTTCTTCACATTCTCTCACAATTGCATTCACAAACGTCTTGTATTTTTGGGACAATTTTAGTTGATGTTCCCACCCAAATTAGCTTGTAATGGCAAAAAACTTAAATCACAAGAAAAATCTTAATTAGCGAATAAACGGCAACATGGCAACCCAGGAAAACGGGCAGCGCTGGGATGAAGTTATGCCTCAGCCATAGTCAAGCTAGGTCTATGGAGAAAAAGTCTGATTATTTTTCTGAACTGGGACATTTGCATTAAGCAAATGTATTTTGCAATTCCAAATTTGCGCAATTATGTGGTCAATAGAAACGCAGTCAGTGTGTCAAAGATGAGGGTGAAAACGAAATGTAACCAGAAATAAATATGGAGAAGCAACACTGAGCTTCTATGCACCACAAATCCAGAAGAAACTTCCAGAAAACTGCAAAACAGCTGAAACACAGAGTTTCTCTAAATCAAGACTAATGTCCCACCTGTCTAGAGGTGCTTTTAGCCATAATCTGGGATGTTTGTGTGACTTTTTCTTTTTGTGTTTTTATGATTTAAAGCCCTTTGAACTTTGAACTCGATGAAATGAGCTGTACAGATAAACCCGACTGATTGATATAAAGTTGATTTGTCAAACATTTGCTCATTTTATAAACAATACAAAATGCTGAGATATTTAATTTTCCCAAAAATGAAGCTGATGTCTGCCCAACAACTATGTTTCTTATGTTGTTCTTTGAGCTGATTGTCTAGTTACATGCCTAAGATTAACTGATAATCTACTGTGCGTAATCTCCAACATCAAACAGCCACCATTTAATTTGAAATTATAAAATATTCCATTTCTTGAAAGCTGTAACATGAATGTATCTCATGAAAACTCAGTTCCTATAAAAGTAGAAATAACAGTATATTATCTCATGCTACTCTATGCAAACACTCTTTCTGTGCCAGTGAAGGTTGAATCCTATCGTTCTGGGGTTAGGTTTTTACTCTTACTATCCAGTACAGTGCAAATTCTAATTATGCCTCATTTTTCTCTGTGTAAACTAACAAAGTTGAACTAGGAGACTGAATGAGATTTCCTTGCTTGGTTGTGTAATGTTGATGCACTCAGTTAATCCCAGCTCCTCTGAATGTTTGTTATTTTCAGGATTGTTACTAGTTGGGAGGTCAACTCCATCGGACACCCCTTGGTTCTGCCGCTGCAGGTGTGTGAGGAGCTGCTGCAGGTGATGGATGAAAGCAACTCCACGCTTCCTGCCTCCATGCGCTGCATGAGGTCCTACGAGGTGAGGCATCTACAGCATCTCACGAAGCCTCTGATAACGACGGCAGCATGCGGCGGCTTTACATTATCAAGGATTTCTTTTAATCTTCCCAAAGCTTTTGTAGCAAATTGCCGTTTTGAATCCAAAGAGACGCTCCAGGTCGTCTCATTGATCTTTAGCCTTCTGTAAAAAAAAACCAACTCTGCTTTTAGCTGACAGCAGTCACTTACTCGCTCTGTTTCGACCTCCGGCATCTTGTTGTTTTCTGTACTCAGCGGTGCCTGACAATGTTTTCATCCTGCCTTAATTAATTTCATGATTCAGAACTTTCACTTTGCAGTTTTGCTTTGGGGATTAAGTGGAACGACTGAGTTTTTACTTATTTCATCTTTTCTTCTGTATGCTTGCAAATGTGCAAAATATATCCACGAATTGCGAAGAAGACTCCTTTTGACTTGATAATAGTTGTTCGGTTTACTGACATCTCTGCTCTCAGAGCTGTTTTTAGCTCAGTAACGGGAGGATAATTAACACTATTACCCTCAACTTACTGATCACAATGTGAGGAAAGTAACTCCCACGCTTTAAAGTTTCCTTTCTGCTGAATATAAAAGGTGGAATGGAGACTTGTGACTCGCTTCATAATGCTTTTATAACTAAGGCTGGACAAAATGCAGTGGCCTCAGCAATTGCTGATTTTTAAAAAGCTCGACCTGCCGATTCCGATTTTGGCCAATACAGATTTCTGTTGTTAATTGCGCATGCGCATTTGTGACCTGATGGGTTGATCTACATAAGATAAGATCATGTAAGTATCGATTACCGAAAATTAAGGAAGTCGGGGTCGATTCATTTGTTCACCCCTGATTAAAACTTTCTCATGTTTCCATACCGTTATATTATGTTGGAAAACATTCGCATTCAGAATTTTATGCCTTTTTCAATAACAAGCCACACATTTCCTTCCATTTCCATATTCACAAAACATAATCAGTATTTATTGTCATCGCTTTGGTACCGAAATTACATTTGGGCATCATGTGACAAAGATGAATTGCATAAAATTTGAGCATTGCTTATATTTCTAAAGGAACTGATCAGTCTCCTTATATGTTAAAACTTCCTAAATACGATTATCAATGATTCAGCCTGAAAAGAAATGATCGTCACCCATAGAAATGGTCAAACAGTATTCTGATACATCATGAACTCCAATATACTGCTGATGTCAACAAAGCATTTGGACTCAGATGCTAAACAAACCCAGATCCTGGTTCAGTTTGTCTGTAAATTCTCTGAAGTAGAAAATGATGCGTCTCTTCTAGCTATTTTGGAGACATCACAAAAAGCACTTTTGCAATTTCTACGATATTTTCTTTTCAGGCGTCATTGCCGCAGTCACTCCACAAATGAGACGAAGCTTTGTTTTTTAAAAAATAAATTAATAAATAAAACTTCTTCTCACTATTCTGACATTTTGCTTGTTACTTCTTTGGAAGTACCAAACTGTTCTTCCTCAAAATTGCTGCCTCATCAGCAAACTCAGCATTTAGTGAGGGCTGGCTTGCTCTCAAATTATAGCTCTCATCTTACACCTTGACATGTCTGCTTTCCGATTTTTAGATTCAGTAACGTCTTTTTTTTTTTTTTTTTTTTTTTCAAATTTACATAAATGAAAAAGGTTGTTTTTTTTTTTTGTTTTTTTTTTTTTTTTCAAAAGCAACACAAATCAGCAAATAGGGGAACTGATGTAGTTTCTGGGGGAGACCAGGTTTCTGTCACTGCCAAGCCTGCTACTTTTGATCTGTGTTGGTTTAATTAGTCTAGAAAAGAAGAAGGTTTGTTTTATTATTGTCATTTTCTGCTGTTCAGGTAAAACTAGCTCCCATTTGCGACTTCATAAAACTGTGTTTTTGTTTTTTTATGCTGGGCGGGGGACGGGGGCTTGTCCTCCCTAAAACGATAGAAAAGCTGAGACGGAACACGACGCAGTGAGAGGTGAACTGATGCAATTCAGCACTTTCTGATAGGAGCTGCTCGCTATAATCTAGAAACCAGATTGTGGCCTCAGATGGACTGGAAGTGTCTTGGGGAAATGCTGTTAACAAAGTGCTTCGCACTCCTGGGTGACGGAGGTGGAGGACGAGAAGACGGAGTAGCTGACGTCTGGATTTGGAAAGGCTGAATAGATGAAAAGCATTTTAAGGCTGTTTTTACGTAATCCAATTAAAATATGCTCGGTTTGTTTGTATCTCCAACATTTTAGAAACGTATTATTCTTTATACATCATCAACATAAACACCAAGAAGGGAACATAGAATAGTTTCATTACAGTTGAAATAGAAAGGTTTGGCCTATTAAGAGTTATGGTTGTAAGAAAATGGCGTAGCATCATTTCTTTTCTGAAGCTGTAACGAGATATCAGATCAAAACACCAACAGGCTTCATTTATTTAGTTTTAACTAAAGGCTGGCTCACAAAGCACGATCAAGTTTTTTTCCAGCATGGTGAAATATGTCTTAATACAGTGCTTTAGGTTCAAAAGCCTATATTTCTGTCTGAGACTTTTTTTTTCTTTTTTTTTTTGTTGCAGTGTTAATCAAAGTTGCTCGGAGTTGCCCTGCTGTATTGAGTCAACGTTTACGCAACACTTTATGAATTCTTGCTGAGGGTTTGTTTTATTACATAAGTATTTAAGAAGTTCTTTCCACTTTTACATAGTTTTCTTGGCAGCATTTGGGATCCTAGTCAAAACTGGTACTGCTCGAACTGGATTCCTCACCACTGAACAGATATATACGGTATATATATTTTTAAAGCTTTATGAAGATTTATGAGCTCTTACTGTTTGTGTGAAAATCAAAACAGAAACCTTTTTATGTACTGCTTTGGCATCAGGACCCAATGTGTCAAAAACAAGATAAAAATGTGTGATTTCTTTCTGTTCACAAAAAAACAGGGACATTTAAAAATGTTTGATTTTTCCAGATAAAATCTCATGAATTGTGTATGCTATGTTGCCTTTTGAGCCAATTAATACATGCCTCATATTAAGCAGTACTCTAAAATAAGTGATCTCCAGCAACATCAAACTGCCAGTTCTCTTGGAAATCATAAAATATACCATTGCTTGATTGGTTCTGCACAATGAGTAGTGAATATATCATCACCAGGACTGTTTGGAGACCAATAATTATTGGCCAATATATATTGTATTTTTCCTCCTATCCAACATTTAGCCATGAGGGCAAAAGTCACATTAGACATAAATGACATTGCCAGCAAACTTAGACTAGGAAGCACAGATTAGAAAGAGGATTTAAAAAAAGAAAACGGGAATATATTGCACTTGCTGTCAATGTCACATTTACCGATATTAACGCCATCACAAGATTTTCTAATAGCATGCACCCTTAGTATACATCACACTTAAACTTGAGAACTTTAAAAGTAGAAAGCATCTATGTAAAACCAGTACATTCTCTCATACTAACCTATCCAAACACTGTCTGGACTAGTGAAGGTTGACCTGGGATCATGTTGCCATACACAGGAATTGATTGTCTAGTCTGAATCTTGACAATCACTTTGCTGACCTCACATTTACCTCTGAGATGTGATGCAGCGTCATCACTGCTGTTAAAAACAAAACTACACCATCGACCACGGCGGTTGCATCATGGCAGCTTTCAAAATGCCGTCCGTATTCGAAGCAACACTGTAAATTGTAACCCAGATAACGTGAGTATCTGGATAACGATGAGCCGCATCGTCATCCTCCTGCCCCTTCTATGCCGTTTTCTTCATCTTCCGTTAGCAGTAACACACAGTTCTTGATCTCGTCACTTTTGTGATGCAAGAAAGTGTTTCCATTGCAGCTTTACAAAATGCGCTAAATTTGATACAGCCCAAAACAAAACTCACCTCATCCTTGCGCAAAAACATGTCAAAATCGCTGCTTGACGTAATTCCAGTTTGCGCAGTTACATGGTCAATGAAAACGACTCTTAACTCGTAATCATGATTGTTATGTGAGTCGCATGACGTGTTACAAGAAAAATTTGGAAGCATTTCTACACTCCGAAATGAAAGGCCATAGATAGAAACCGCAACTGCATCATCATCCATTTAGGGCTCACTGAGGCGGTATGACAACCAACCAGAGCCATACCTAATGATGTTGGTACCACTTTCATCATCACTAGTCTAAGTGTCTGCTGTTTGAACTATGCCTCTCAAAAACTTGTGAGTGTGTTCATTTAACAGAATGTAGCCATTGTTCCCATCAGAAACACGTTTATGATCATTCCTGTGGCGAGTCAGAATGTTTCAAATTAGTCCTGCAGCCTGAAAAAGATCAATCCTTTGATATATGAATCCAATGTTACTTGAATATCCTTTTTTTTTTGTCGTTGTTGTAAATATTACAAACTGTACATGCTTGGATGAACATCCACAACAATTCTTCATTATTTTCTCTGAAAAGCTGCAGAAGCCACCCACCACAACCCGTCCTCTCGACCCAGCGACGAATCACTTTCTGCGGGGAGAAAAACGCCGACCCGTGCGACTCGGTGCGTTTTCGGTGTTAATTTCCGCCCGAGTCGGTGTCGCAACCCGGCCTGCGGAACGTCTGGGCTCCTGCTCTCGTCTCGCCACCGCCGGCGTAATGGGCTGCAAAGTAGTTTGGGTTCAAGAACGTCGCTCTTCCGGTCAGGGGTAAAAAAAGAGACGGTGCCCGGCTTCCTCTTCCACCCACACTCACTCCTCCATTAATCTCCTCATCACTCCCACAGAGACATTAGAAACCGGGTGATTTACATTAAAGAGATGAGCAGGTGCATCCACAGCTTCTTTGATTCTTTCTTTTTTTTAATTTTTATAAATGACCTCCCCCAACCTGCTGGCATCTAGAACGATTGTTCACGCAGCAACATCTGACAGGAGTTCATCAACCGAGCCGTGGGCGTTTGACGCCGTCCTGTTTCACATCAGCTTTTCGGACCCGACACGTCCGTCAACATCGGAAGCGCCGGCCGCCGCACCGCTTCGCGTGACTTCGTTTGCATTCCTGATGGAAAAGTAGAAGAGCTGCTGAAGATGTTAATCTGTCACCTGATATCGCAGCTGTTCACCACCTACTTTACATCGGAATGGTTTCTTGGCACGCACGCCACAGCAGACGGAGTGGTAAAACAGATGTTAATAATGATGGCTCAGTTCTTTCACGTTTCCGTGGAAACAGTGTCAGTTTTTCCGGCATGCACCGCCGTGCTACCTCAGCCAAGCACAGCAAAGTCCATCTAGAGTCAATACAGCTGTATTCAAACTATATGAACACTTGGGCCAATGGTAAAAGCATGCTGCCGTCATGGCTGATAAACAATATTTACCGATTCTGTTTTCCCCATCCATTCAACATCAAAAATCTAACTCAGGGTTGTTGATCGTGTAAGAAACGACGACCCAGCTGAGAATTATGGCCCCAGTTAGGAATAAGCATAGAAATAAATTGAAGGTTCAGCTGAAGAAAGTAAGATGTAAAAGGGAAAAATAATAATAAAAAAATATGGTACTATCAATTAATCAAGTTTGTTTGCATGAAGGCAGGAAACGGGCAACTCAAAGTGCTTTGCATCACGAAAACAACAAAAACAAAAAGTCATAAAAACATGCTGTGGTCACTAATTGGCAAGCCAGCAACAAATACTGCCTTTTGTCAAGTGACATCATGAGAATCATCAAACCACATCAAATATGTCGGTCAATGTTCCATTTTTTATGCTTTAAAGCATAAAAAAGCCTTGATTTAAAGGAACTCAGTGTTTCAGCTGTTTTGCAGTTTTTTGGAAGGTCGTTCCAGATTTCCGGTGCATTGAAACGATAAGAGAGTTTGGAAAATGGTATACACTGTTTTTCTTGTTTTTAATTTTTATGCATCCTAAAGTCATGGCTTAAGTAATTTTTTGCCAAATGACATGAAGGGAGAAAAATGACCTAGGCTATTACTTTAGGAAGGTAACAATATTCATTTTTGGTTTTTTTCCACAGCGTTATACATTCTTTAAAATGTGTTACTTTTTTTAATCGCTGTAGATTTATTCTCCTGCCAATAACTTTCTAATTTCTGTCCTCTTTATCTCCCATGACTTCTTTCCATTTTTTATATGTATATATTAAATTTATTTATAATTTTTTTAATGCATAGAAAACATTTGTACATAGTTTTTATTTTTATTAAATTTTTTTGCACCAAAACCACTATATTTATTTATTTTATTTCTGCAGCTAATGTCAGTAACTGGTTAAAGGGAGTTTAGCTCATATTTTCAGCTGCGGGTGGTGCAGACACACCCATCAATACAACAGAGTAGCATCATGTAATTATATAGGCCAGCAGCCTTATTATCTGTTTGAAAGTCCTCTTCCCCTGTTCCTTTAATCGGGTTCTGCTTGTCCTCGCCCGTCTCGCTCTGTTTCTCCACATGGAAGGAAACGTTCTCCATGCCGCCTGCCAAGGTTGAAGTGTTTTGTTTGATAAGCACCAAAGTCTGGGATCGCTCACCTCTCCTTACCAGCAGCGCTTTGTCACCGTCTCAACACCTTTAATAACCTCAGACGTTAAATAACCACCTCCCGTTTGGATGGAGGGGGTGTCAACCGAGGAGGTTTCGTACAGATGGAAAATTAAAGGAGCACAACCCGATGTCTTACCCCCAACATTTTATTGGTGTTTCATATTTGATCAAATCAAAGATCCAGAGCACCCTGAAGCATATAATGTTCAGTTCAATAGGCTGACTTACAGTCAGAAACCCTGAAAGAGCTCAAAGTTCGTATTTCACAGTTGTAAATGCATCTGAGAAGACTTTTTGTGCATCTTCTCATAAGACTCTCATTGATTAACAAGAAGGACTGCAAGAAGGACTGCAAGGGAGAATTAGCTTTGTGTCTGCGATGTGTTAACCAGTCACCCGGCTCCGTATCTTTTCAGTTTGTGTTTATGGCAACAATAACTTTCACTCCAAATCTGACCCTCCATCTCGTTTTCCACAAATTAATTCCAAAATCCCATGACTTGGTGAAATGTAGGAAATTTGCCACGTCAGAATGAAAAGCATTGTCCGACCGTTTCTCCGGATCGTTCCAAGATGTTTTGTCAGTGAGATCAGTTTTTAAATCGGCCATGGTGTCTTGCAAAGTTGATATAATCAGGTGCTTGTGACTCTGAACACACCATCCCCCTAATTGCACATGGCAGTGGCATTGTCGTGACGTGGGACAGAGCAGAGATGTGGGACGGTTCTTGAGTAGATTTCAAAGATTTCAGAGGAAAAAAAGTAGGTTCACTGTCCAGTCCCAGAGCTACAAACTGAGTGTCTCCACATCCTTAAGACGTTTTAAAAAGCATCTAAAATAAAGAAAAATGTAATTTGGCCTTTTAATACATTAATCACAAACCTAAAATTTTGTCGTTGCTGGATTGTTTAGTCTCGTATTAACATGCTGACAAATCCTACGACCACAATAAAACAACTGTTTTTATCTCAAGATGTAAAAATAAAGAATTTTGTCTTCTCTGTAACTAATAGTGAATATCAATATAGACTTTGCCACAATTTCAAGATCTAGTCAGACACTGTTAGCCTAGCCTTCCATTTGCTCCAGTAATGACCTGTTAGCCTAGCATAACCTAGCCTTTGATCTGCTCTAGTAATGGGTTGTTAGACTAGCTTAGTTTATTGTAGTTTTTCTTTATTTATTTTTTGTTAGGGAAAAGTTTGACATCTTCACTGTGTTCTGTGATTTGAGGAGGTTAAGGTTACAAGTTGCCATTCTTCCCTTGCTAGTTAGCTAGCCATTTTTTTGCATCTATCATGGTTTGGGTGCAAATTTAGCTGGATGACATTGGTCTTTGCCACTGCCTCACTTCATAAAACAGTGTCTTTTGCAGGTCTTTTCATTGAAGGATTATTATTTTTTATTTATTCTCACCTCCTTCCCATTTTAAATCCAATTTAAGACCGATTGACTCCCAGGCCTCCGGTCTCGCGGTCGCCCCTCTCCCTCTGTCCACTTCACCTCTCAGTTGCCATTTTGTATCATTTGTATGAATTACGGCGGACGCACCCGAGCGGTGAGCAGACACTGGCACAGGGACGGAGAAGACAGGGTCTTGAGTGTGGCAAATGCCCTCATCCATCATCCCAATATAGAGCCCTCAGTGGAGCGCAGCCATTGTCTGCAGCAGACAAACACCAAGGAAGAGCAGATGGAGGGAGCGGACGGCGCTGAGCCCGTTTATTTTTCTCGCCTTTGTTTATGTGGATGTGTTTTTTTGGGGGGTGGGGGTTTAAGTTGGTTAGATCCCTACCATCTGTTTTTTTTCTTATTATCATTTCTGAAAACGAGCCAATTCAGATATTTTGTTGCTGTCCTATAAGCAGAGGAGAGAGATGCAGCACTGTTGAGCTTTAAGGGAGGTGTTTCAGGAAGTGTTTTATTTTTATTCTGCTTTCTGAGATCTGTAGAGATTTCTGTTCTGTGAACTTCTTCCTGCCTGAACTTGAACTTCTTCCATAGGTGGCGTACCTGAGACTATGAGATCTGAGGGCTCGAGACTGGCAACTCTACCGAGTGTTTTTGAAGATGCCCCCGCTGCAGCTGACAAAGGAACTTCTGAGCTCCAGTGCATCTCCTTTTTTATTCTGTATGGATTCAGCTCAGTGTGGAATGCAGAAGGTATGAGATATCCTGAGCATAGTGTGGTTTTCATGTTGAGACATGATGCTTCCGAGACCAACATCCTGGCAGCGGTAAAACCTGAAAGGCTCCAGTTTTCTGGGAATTCATAATTTCACTGTAGTTAATATTTGTTAACATGTATGTTCAATAATCGTCCTTTTTTTTACCTTTTTAATAAACATAGTCTCTTTTTTTTTTACAAAAAAATCGTTTTTGATTTGCTAGAAAGGAATGCTGGCGTCTGTATGGAACTTTTACTAGGCTGTTAAAGTTTCTTGTGCAGGCAGATCAGTCTCGGAGTTGATGTTTTGTGTTTAATTTTTTTCAACATGCATGTAGAAGTATTTGATTAATAATGAACACCTCTTCAGACATTATTTAAGGCAGGTCACATCTGTTTGTATAGCACTTTTCAACAAGGCAGTTCAAAGGGCTTTACATGATAAAAACTGAATATAGTAACCAATTTGTGAAACAATGAACGTTACATTTTCTCAACTCAAAATCATCAAAAGATTATCAAGGATATGTAGATCAAATATATTGTTCAATATGCCGCAGTCATTGTTAATCAAAGGCAACTATAAGCAGGTGGGTTTTTAGCCTTTGATTTAAAGAAACTGCGTTTGGGGCCTCCGCCTCTTTAAGAAAGCCTCCGTTTCTTTACGAAACTCCGTCTTCAGGAAGACATCTCCTCTATTAACGTTTTTACCTGCGTTGCACTGAGAAGTAGCTCGTATAATGAGCTCAGTAGATGAGAAGGTCCATCAGGTGTGTACTGGCTAGTCTGAAGGAGGCGAGTGGGGAAGGAAGCTGCAGCTCTGAGGAGGAGTTTTGTCCTCGAAGGCGGAGCTAAGTCCCCCCCAAGCGTTCTGTACAGCAGAAACAGGGCGTCACTCCTGGTATGCTTTTGAGGAGGGAACAACATAACACGATTCTAAAGCTCAAAAAAGTTGCTTTTCTATAATACCGCACCTTCAAAATCCTTTTACTAGGTTTTCTGGAAGCCAACCAAAATGTGACCACTTTGTTTATCGTTGCATTGGCTGCAAAAGAGTCACACCAGCTGAGACAAAGCTCACAGGTCTGTTAGACACATGGCTGGATCTCCCACTGTCCAGTGTTAACGCTTCTCCTCTGAAAAGCAGCCCGGCGTAATATCTGCCCGAACGTCTATTTTTACAAGCTCCTGGTAGGAGCAAGCGGGGAAACATCAACTACTTGACGGCGTGCCTGGATCTGGAATGCTGATGCAGCAAGTGACAATTACGTGTAACAATACAAAGCAGTGGAGCGACCACTGAGGCGGCAAAGCACAGAGTGAATTGGCTAATTAACTACATCTAACGCCGAACCGTCAGGGGCTTCGCGTTTCCTCCTAGCCCTTTTCTCCACAAGTGCAAATGAAGTAGGCTCTAAATAACCCATTTGTTTCAAGTCGGCCGAGCAGGAGGAGCAGCGCCACATTACTGGATGCTGGTGTGTTGAACACACTGGCAGACACAGTCGCCCCGAAGGCGTCTCCAGCTGCAGGCTCTCTTTGTCTTCTTCCCTTTCATGATAGACACCAGAAGCGTCAAATTAAAAGTTTTTGGCCAGCCCGCTGCCATCTGCCGACACCGTGCGGCTCATTAGCCTTTTCATACAGTACTCTAATGAAAAATTTCAGTCCGAGTAAAGGTCTACTACACATCCTCCCTGAGTAATTACTCCTTCATGCTTGGAAGAGATCTTTTCTTTTTTTTTTCTCACTTGCCCTTCTTTTACACATTTGGCGGATCTGCACAAGCAACAGAGTGGTGATAGACCACTGTGCAGCATATTGCAAAAAAATAAAATAATTATAAGAGCAAAATACCTTTTGGATAGATTTTCAGGGTTTTATTTTCCCCCTTTGACTCTTACATTTGAATGGACAACTAATTTATCCATTCTGATGTAAAGACAGCAGCACATACAGTTAAGTGCTAGCTTCTTAATGCTGCTCAAACCAACTGTGCAATCTAAGATTGTGAAACACTAACACAAAGCTAGGAATCCTGTGGGTTTGTTTGACCAAAAATAGACAGTTGACAGTTGAATTTCTAATATTTCTATATTAGTACTGCAACGTATTGTGATAAAATATCTTCAATAGGAACCAATAAGTAGCTACACTATGTGCTTTAACAAATGACATCAGCAAATTTCCTGTCCACCAACATAGAGGTCATGGTAAGTCGGTGCTAATGCTCTTCCTAGGGCAGCCAGCTGAGGACATTTTACCATGTAAGCCAACTGTATTGTGTCGACTCCCAAAAGTAGCAAAAACGATTCTTGTACCGACACGTTCTTGTGTGTCTGCTGTAGATTTCAGCCGTGTATGACGATGAAACTAGGAGCCACAATCAGTGTTGCAAAATGTATGTAATTGTTGCACCAATGTCACAGCAAAGACTTAAAAAAGTAAAAAATTCTTGCCACATTATACCAACTCTCTGTCTTCACAGATAAAGATGCATAGAGTAAGCTGATCTGTTTTGCGTTTTTAAAAGTGCATCCTCATCATAAGCAACATGTATAGTTCACGCAGGTTGTATGACGATTCGCAAAATGCACTTTATGTTTAAACTCTTGCAAATTTGTGTGTGGCAAGACAGCAGTGACATTGGTTTGAATCTGCTTTGAAAAGCAAAGAACCCTGATGTTTTTTGGAGGAGACCAGCGATAAATCTCCAATCCAACCAGAGGTGAACCATTTGTGCGTCAGACGTTTTGTATTCTTTTATCTGAATTCAATGATCGCCTCCATAATTCGCCACGTGATTGCGTGAAGTACTTGTCACAGTGCAGATCCATGCTGATGACTTTAATCTTTTGTTTATGCACAAACCTACCTTCAAGCCACAGGTGCTTACAGTACTCACCTTCACCAGCTTTTTACAGAAGTTCAGCAGTTAAGTTTAGAGCGCTAAAGGATGCTAACTAGTCAAAGCCTTCAAGCTATGGAGAATCGTAGAGTCAACATCCACGTCAGCCTAAAATTGTTAAAACACTGAGGCAGGACACTTTGAGGAAATTGACACCATCGACCTCTGAAAACTACAAAAGCCTGCAGCGAATTGCCAAATGAGCCAAACATCTATGTGTTGCATGTCAAGATGTGAGGACCACCAAGTTCAGTAAGCTATATACCCCGAGGAACTGCCAATGTTTGTGTAAAATGCATTGCATGCCATCCAGTCACTCCATCCTCTCAGTCCCAACCCAATCAGTGAACCAACCACCAAAGCAGCAATGAGGTTCTTGGAGCCCTGCAGCTGGAGGGGCTAATCACTTTATGCTGGAAATGAAATAAGCTGTCAACAGCAAACATATTTCACAGGTTCCTGAGAGATTTTCTTACGGGAAGTGATACAGTTGATCAACCGGAAAAGATTTTTATTATTCCTTCATCTACTTCCGAGAGGCAAACTTTCTACCACTGGAAACAAAATGTTTGACTTGAGCTCTTGCTTTCACCTGTTTCCCCGTGTCACGTTTCCTCCCCTCCATCTGAGATACATGTTTAAGGAAACCACACTCGACACCACAAATTGCCGAATGATCAAGTCTATGAGCACACAGTGTAATTTTCAAATTGGATTTTGCAGCCCTTTGCCTTCACTAATGTATTTGATATTATTTTTGGATTAAGCGAGACAGCGATGTGTGAGATTACAACGTGGCCAGCGTAGCAGGAAAGAGATCCTGTTCGGGGAGGTCAAGCCATAAAGCTTGTCTCATCTCAGGGAGGAAATGAGGCATTAGATTGAGTTCCTGTTTTAGTCACCCAATCCTAATGGGTCATCTATCCTGAGGATCTTGGAGTCATTTTGAGAGAGACAGATCACAAAATGTTTGCTCTTGCCTTTTCCTGGCAAATACGAAATAGACTTTCGAAAAGAGTCGAGGGTTTTTGCCCTCCAGCTTTTAAAAGGGGTTCAAAGGCTTATAATCATGTTATAGTTAATGCCTCATTTTGACTACGCCCTTTCATCATCTGTCTTTTATTGTATTTATTGTAATGGCCTTTTAAATTCTAGAAATCAATCAACTCTATTATGCTTAAAAGGATTTTGAGTAATCTCATATTCAGGAAGTGATGGGGATGAGAATCGACTGCTGACTTTAAGGCCACGAAGGATTTCACGGTTGATAAAAGGTAAGGACTCCGTCCATCAGGTTAAATGGTAAATAGCACTTTATCTAGTCCAGAGGACCTGAAGGGCTTTACACTACATACAGTCATTCATACATTCACCCATTCAACACGCTGATGGTATCTCGCCACTACGTCGTAGCCGCAAGGATCTTGTCCATCCCGGTTTGTTGGTGTGAAGGAAGACCTTAGCTACAAACCAAAGACTTATTAATCGGCAACTGGCAACTGGATCAAGAGGCAATCCGTGTGAGGTGGCTTTGCAGCAATCCCAGTTTATGGAGGCCACACCTGCGAGTCTACGGGACTTAATGGATCCGCTACTAACATTGTTGGTGGCTCAGACACGACGAGCAGTAAAACTGCTACACGGAAGTATTTCACTGTGAAGATGACCTGTAGTGTGTGTTGTTGCAACTTGAAATGAAATAAACAAACTGTGTGTATAGGTTTATGTCTGGCTGAACGATGTGTGTGCTCGGTTGATTTCTTTATATTTTTCCTTTTGGGGGGTCGGGATTTTATTGTGATCTACCGGGGGATCCAGAAGAAAATTTTTGGGGACCACTGCCTCAAGTTTTGCTGTCAAAAATCCAAACTTTATTAGGCCTTCACTGTCATGTTTAACCTGATCCGTGTCATCTGGGTCGCCATTTTGTTCCATGAAGATTTAGACTCTGACCAAAGTCGGAACTGTACTAATTCGTTCACGTGGTTAGCGCTAATTAGCAGCAAATGTGAGGGTCAAATGCTAGTTGTTTTTTTGTTTTTGTTTTTTTTTTGCCGTGCTCGAATAAGAAGCTGTCACTTAAAGCCTGCTTATGTCGCTGGGAGTTTTTCATTTTAAACCTCTTCAGTGCCAAATTAACGGTTCTAAACCGCCTGTGGCGTCGATGCAGCTTCCCGACTGTCCTCCCAAATTCCAAGTCACAACCGTCTTTCCCTCCGGTGTCCCCTTCTTTCCCCATTACTCTAACAGCCACCCCTCCCCCCTGCACCCATGGCTGCTGCCATCTTGGCATTCTAACAAGACTATTGGGCATATCCACAAGCCTTCAGGGGCTCATTAGTTTGTCCATTGGACTCAACGAGCTTCAGTGGCAACCGTGGAGCCGGCCCACTTCGAGCCTTCAAGCGGAGGAAGGCCGCAGTCAGCCCTGCTTCCCGGGGAAGGATGTCACAGCTGCCTCAGCAAGTATGAGGCAAAAACAACTCAAAACAGAAATCTAGAAAGCACTTCTTCGGACTAATGTGTACAGCCTGTGACAGCGCTGTGACAGACGGAGGAGAGGTGTGTGGGGGGCTGGGGGGGGAACTGCTTACTGTCAGGAATCCGGTGTGTGAGAATGCAGCGGTGGGAATGAAACTTGCCAAACGGATCAGCAGTATTTCTGTTGTCCACATTCCAGGAGACACACGGGCTTTTGATTCTCGGCAGCCGACGTTAAACCTCCTTTCTATCTTTGGACGGTGAGAGAGATTGAGTCGAAAGTCGCGGCGCGACAGGCGGGACGGGTTTGGAGCTGACGGTGACGGATTGAGGCCCCCCGCTGCGGGAAAGAGAGCGCGGCGGAGGGGGGTTGGCAGCCGGGCTCGGGGGTGTCAAGGAGACCTTTTTGATGCTGCTGAAGCCTGAAATTTTCTCTGGGCCTGAGGAAAGATGATTTAGCTGGCTGCTCTTCAGGGTCAAGACACCAGACCTTTAAAAGAGAAAAGAAGCTTATCAGCAGCTAGGATTTAAGTGTTCAATACGTAACATCTATTTTTTGGGGGATTTTTTTTTCAAATATTTTAAGAAATTTGTTCCCCTCCAATAAAGGTTTTCTATGCTCCTCCGTTCTGCAGGGATTTAACTGAGCGATGGATGAACAGAATTCAAGGCATTGAATGCCTCGTGTGGATTTCTGTTCTTTTCTGTTCCATTTGTTTTTGCTGGAGCAAAAGATGATTCTTCAAAATCTGCACATGCAGTTCAGTGTGAAACATATTCTGCTTGCTGTTTCATCGACGTTTTCATCAATACTCTTCTGTCAAATTTCAGGTCAAGGACAGAGGGGTTTTTTTTAATTGTCATTTTATTAATAGAAGAATTAAATCTGTACTTAAAAAAAAAAAAAATCTGTTCTTACCACTCCAACTTTTCACGTTTTCTCAAAATGCGTCACCCCTCTGTGTTCGGCCTCCTTCAATCCGATGCCAGTAAATAAAAAGCGGCTCAACCAAATTCATTAAGAAGTCTTTTAGACTCATGTTTTCATATAAATGTTCCTGGGTACTTTCTCTGTGATGTTCCCGTCGGTGCACTACTCTGTTTATTGATTTTATTCTAGTTTTAGTCCTTTCGTATTCTGTCAGTTTCTTTTAGTCCTTGCTCATCAGGTTTTATCAAATTTCACAATTTATTCTCAAGTCCTGATTTGAGACTATTGGGGGGAACAAAAGCCGTAAGACGTCCTGAAGGCTCTGCTGTGTGATAAAGAAGAAAAAATCCAAAGAGATGTGGAAACGCACATAATGCAACGCTACTCACTGCACACTGATGCTTCGTGCAAATGTATGCAGACACTGCAAGAAGATTATTACATAAGGCCGTTCAGGCAATCAAAACAGAGCCAGAGCAGGACGCAGTAACATATGTCGTCTCATTGAGGTGCAAAACAATGCAGCGGACGCGCAAACGGAGCAAGGAAATGCATTCAGAGCGTTAATTTTCAATTTGGTTCCTGAGTGTTTGAAAGTCAAACAGCCTGAGGCTGCAGCAGTTCCTGCATGAATGGTTTCAAAGGGAAGCTCCTCCTTCTGCCTCACACACACACACACGCATTCACACACACGCAGCCAAACACACACAAATGCACAAACAGATCTGAAAAATCATTTTAGAAGTGAGAAGAAAAGAAAAAAGAGATATGTTCGCCACAAATGAATGAACATTATAAAACGTTTTCTAAAGAGATGTCTAAAGTTGGGCTTCTAGCCAGATGGTGTGACAGTTGTAGCATTTTGAACAACATAATGGAGTGTCAGGAGTTTGCTAAACATGCTAATTCACAATTAAAGTGATACCCCTTTGAGTACAGGTGCTGCCCCTCAACTGCATAATGCCCTGGGTGTAAACCACATTGCCCTTATCAAACACTACGCAAATCCACAAGTGGAGAAACTCTTTGTTGACGGTAGGAGAGTGGGAAACTATTGTTTTAAGTATAAAACTAAGGTTTTATACTTTAGTGTCTCTGGTCAATATTCTCTGTACTAATGTACAGAAAACTCCAGGAGTTCTTTTTATACCAATGTACAATATTGAATCTGGAGTCTATTAAGTGATGCAAATTGCTCTAACTGGGGGTATTTCTGGACTGTGTGAAGGCACAATTGCACCTGGAGAATTGCATGCAATGGGAGAGTGTGAATATTTCCCTCCATTTCTGCAAGCTGCAGCTTCAGTCTCTTATCACAAGCAGGCGGATTCCACAGATCTGCAGAATGAGCCGGCGTGACCAATTTACCGTCCTATCATGATGAATGTGTTTTCCACAAACGCATATTCAGTCAGCCGCGGCTCTTTCTTGTAAACGGGGTGACCCGGCGTTGTGGGAGTCAAATGCTCATTAGAACCACAATCCCCCACTGCAGCTTTTCTTTCTCATTCCCTCTCATGATTGACACACAACAGTTTCTTAGTTTTTACAAATAAAATGTGTCTCGCCCCAAAAGCCTAATGCTGCCGATTCAGAAGTGAAACTGTCACAACTCTACGATGTTTCTAGTTCCTTCCTTTGCCATTTAGTTTCTTTGCCTGTTATGTACAGGTCTTTTTTTTTGCCTTTGTTTGACCAGCATTTCGGATCATACCATTTCTCCTTCACCTACATTTCAGCCTCCCTCTTCCCCAATAATTGCCCTCAGGTGTTCATCGTTCTCCTGAAAACTATGTGATTAAATACAGGGGGAGGAGGAGCGATTACTCTTCCTCCCCTAATTTAGTTTGCTGTTAGGGAGTCGTGACTGGGCCAAAGTGAAAAGAAGGAACACACAAGGATCTGGGAAACTCAGAGCCGGTGTGAGAGTGCGTGTCATGGCACAGTGGACCCAGTAAAAGATGAGAGACACGATGATGATTTTATTGAAGGAAAATGCACAAATGATCCAAAATGCCAGGCAGCACAGGGTGAGCGGGAAGGCCAGGCTCACCGCTGGCAGCGACTGGCGAGTCCCAAACCGGACACGACAGGACGAGACACAGAAAGACAAACAACACTAAATCCACGGGAACAATCAAGGGGAAGACAGGACAACGCGGAGACTCAGAAGACACGGAAACCTAAAGTAAACGCAGAGGAAAACTCGAATCCTCACAGCGAGCAAAACGTAAGAAAAAGAAGATGAAATAATTAAACAAAAAGAGAGATCACCAAAAATAAAATGGTAACCATTGCCTGAAAGAAACTAAAGAGTACAATATGGAAAAAAAAAGACAACAAATCAGGAAAAATGTGTTTAAAAGATTTCCATTTGGTTGTGATTTAACAGAGAAAGAATCTTTTGTAACAAACTACCTCCTGTGCAAGTGACTTGGAGATGTTTTCGTAACAGAAGGCTGAATTGATGGGTTTTTGCCAGATGTTCGCCGTACCCACAAAACTCAGGATTTATTTTATTTTTTTTCAAGGTTCCTTTTAAAATTTTCTGTGTGGCTTTTTCAAATGTATATACAACAGCTGAGCTGTTAGGTCAGAGGCACGTTTTCTTATCCATGCTCACTTTCAGAAGAGTGGCTCTTGCTTATCCAAAGACTTGCTTCCACACAGCCACACGCTTTTTGAGACAAAACAATGAGTGCGTGTGTAATTTTAGCGTAACTAAATGATGTGTCGTAAGGTCTTAAGTGTCCAACGTTGAGCTTGAGGCGAATTCACAAAGTATACGCAGCCATTGTGCAATAAGGAGAAAATCCCCAACTTCCGTTAAGCACACATGGTGTTGGAATATTAAACCGTTTTGTGCTTCAGCAGAGTTATCGTCGTTTTCATTTAGCGGAGATTTGATTTCCCATACGCTCAAAAACAAACAGAAAAAACAACTTTCTTTCCAACATGAGAGACACTTCAGCCGGGGAGGGAGGAAGACAATATGCTCTGGCTAAATTGCAATATTGCTCAGATCATTTCTCGTCTGTTCGCTGTTTAAGCCGATTGTTGCTGTGGGTTACGGAGGCCGCCTGTTTGTGTAGCAGGCCTAACCGGAAGAGCCCCGCAGCGAAACATCATTCATGCCTCCATCACCTTTCACACCCCCAGTGCCCATGTCCCCCCCCCCCACACACACACACACACAAAACAAATAAAAAATCCTGGAACTGAGGCAAACGGCAGGCAGACACACGTTCTGCTGGCCAAGCAGGACCATCGCCACATTTTCTGTGTGCGCATCACTGCCAGCTTGTGTGTTACCCCGTCGCTTCCT